CGGTGTCAGACCGGCTGAGCGCGGCGCTGGGGGAAGCGGCCGGCGAGCTTCGCCCTCGGTGAGGCAGAGCGAGGCTCCGCGGGTCTGAGCTGCGAGGAGCGAGAGGGGCTGGGCGTGAGGCAGGATGTCCGCCAGAAGGGAAATGGGTCGAGATGAGCTCCCGCTCCCTGTCCGCCGCCGGGAGACACGGGCTTTCAAGGGCGCCAAGAAGACCTACCCGCTTCCCAGAGAAAGAAACGCCACCCCCCCCCCCCGGGTTTTCTTGGGGGAAAAGAAAGGGGAAACGGGGCAAGGCTGAGCAGGAGGCACTAGGACGGCGCGCCCGGGACAGTGCCGCCGGCCCTCCAGCACGCCCCGGGACGCGGCTGTGCGCCACAAGCCTGCTGCCGCTCCGGACCGTGGGCGCAAGCCGCGCAAGGAGAGCAAGACCCCCTTGAGGAGGGGAGACACGAGGGCACGTCACTGACCGCGTGGGGCAGCTGAGCTGGGGGGAAGGGCAGCGGTCACACGCGCGCGGAGGGGTGCTGGCACCCGCCTGCCCTCTAATGAGTCCGAGGAAGTCGTGGGCGCTGCTCCGGGGGACGCAGGCTAGGGGGCGAAATGCACCTATGGTCTGACCCACTCAATGGCAATTCTTAAATTCATATGATTACAGCATTGTATTGATTCCCGTCCCGAACAGCGTTACACTGATCTTTAAACAGAGATTATAGGGTTTGTTTTTCTCATCCATCCTCCCTGGCATAACCAGTGGCCTAACTTTTCTGAGGAAGGTGATCAGGATTTGTTTTAAGCTGTATCCAGCCAAACTCTAAACCAGTGGAGGCAGCTCTTCTAGGCCAGCCTCTTGGAAAGTTTTGTATAATGTATGTTGTAAGCATTCTGCTTTTGTTTATAGATTGCAGCGTGTCCGTCCTTCTCTTTTGTTGGCATACTAACGATTTAAAATAAACAGGCGCCCTCGATTAATGTTTCATTTTTTCAGGCTCTGTACAGCATGCACTTGCAAAATAAATCAGTTCACAGGCAGACCCGCACTTCAGTATATTTATTTCATTAATGAATCTGGTGACGATTCTATATAATCCCGATCTATATTTTTTTATCATCTTCCATCATTGGATCTATCTGTTGATTTAAAAAAAAAATTAAAAACAATATATATATATATTTATTTTACAGGCATCACTTTGATCCATACAGCTGCAGTGGCCTCTGGTGACCAATGTGGGAACTGCTGATCCTATTGTGGGAGTACCCAGCATCCAGACCCGTCCTACGCTGTGATACAAACCACAAAATGAGCACAACAACCTACACAAATTTGGCATATCTGTTATGCATTATACTTTAACTGATAAAGAATGGTTTTTAACTATAGCATCTGTTCTTTTGATTACTTTCTTACAGTGATAAATCATTTAAAAACTTTGAAAACTTCAGCACATGTTGTAGGTTATGTAAGCAACAGGACAACTTTCAGGAAAATCTGCTCCTGTCAGTTTATTGTGTCCTCTTTACAGCATGGGTTAGAATAACTCCGCAAAGAATTCAATTCTCACAGCTGTTATCAACACTGGGAATGTAGTATTCAAAGAGGTTGGGGGGGACCTAGATTATTGCCAACATTTCTGGCAGAAAGAAAAAGCTGTCACATTTTAGCCATGGAAGACATTTACATGATTCACACAGCTTTACCCAGCCAGTTTTTTTTCTGGGAGTTTGGAGGTATGCTTATATTTTCAACTTCTCAAATGAGACTAGACAGTTTTTCAAGAACAAGAGAAAAGAAATACATTCAAACTTTTATTCACAGCCTTCTCAACATTCAGACAACTTGCATTTAGGTTGGGGGGGGGGGTTCTATTAAAGCATAAACAAAAGCCATAGTGTCACCCCACATTTTCAACCTTATTTCTGAATTTTCTTGCTACAGTGGGTTAAAATCCAGACCTTTAACATATAGTATCTCTTGGTTGTTGAATAATTTGCTGATCCAGTTTACTCAGCATGGGAGTCAGAAGTTTGGTTCAAGTCTTTTTATTAGCTTAACTACATCCACAAAAAACACATGTTTAACATTAAAATTAATGCTCAGGGGTCTTAGAAAGTAAAGATAGTCTAGGAACATTTGTACCAAACGAGATACATACATAATTACTACAATATCCCAGGCTCTACTTCTGTTTGCATGACTGACCTGCTCTTTCCTCATAGCCTCATGCTGAGCAGTTCCTGTTTCATTTGATATGTTCTACTGTATCCTCATTTATTATTTAACTCCCATTATTGTTCTCCAAATCCTCTCATATTTTATATTGCATGTTGGATAATCTTACTGAGATAAAATACATTTCAAATACTGTAACAAAAGCACACACAAATCACACATTCTCAGCAGCAAGGATAGTCAGCTTAGAAATAGCAGTTGTGAATGTAACAAACTAACAATATATTTGTTTTTCAGAATTGCAATCCCTTAAATGTTCTGTTTAAAAACGGAGTAAATTTATTTCTAGAAACATTGTTGCTAATTCTGAAAAGCACTTAAGGATCAATATCAAGCCAATAATTACACTTCTGTCTGAAATATTTCTATCTACTCTTATTTCAGGTAACACTTAAATGACTGAAACATTAGAGCCATTTTTTTTTCTCTATTGAGAATTACCATACTATTGGGTCAGACTATTTAGCCCAGTATTCTAAGGCTGGTTCCAAAGAGGATGGAGCTAAACTGTTCTCAGTGGTGGCAGATGACGGAACAAGGAGCAACCGTCTCAAGTTGCAACAAGGGAAGTTTAGCTTTCTCACTAGGAGGGTAGTAAAGCACTGGAACTGGTTACCCAGAGAAGTGGTGGAATCTCCATCCTTGGAGGTTTTTAAGACCTGGCTAAACAAAGTCTTGGGTGGAATGATCTAGTTTGAGCAGGGAGTTGGATTAGATGACCTCCTGAGGTTCCTTCCAACCCTAATTTTGGAAGTGGCAAGTATGAGACACTTTACAGGAAGATTATGTGAATGGGGCATGCCTAGAGTGATCCTTTCCTCCCATCAACCATTGCCGGCTTAAGCATGTCAGACAGTACATCACTGATAGTTCCATTTAATAGCTCCCAAATATTCTATTACATTTTTTTTTATGTTGTGCATTTTGGATAGCAGTTTACATTGTTTCTCTTGTACAAGCATCAGTTCCACAAAGTATTTCAGCAGAAGCATAATTTTAAACTTGTGCATGCCTCATTCATAGGCTAAAAGTTATGGATATGTGTGCTTTGCTGAACTCTGAATTCCTACCGTCCATTGTGGGACTTGGTACAGACATAGATACGGATGCTAGTGGGAACATGGTGAGGTGAAGTCTGTCAGTTTTCTTGCTGCCTATATTGACTTTTTTACATAAGAGTCAGAAGAGAAGAGGAGGAAAGATTATGGCAAAACACAAAAATTAGCAAGGAAATTCAGGGGCAGGTTAGTAACTGAAAGAATATTTTATCTAATTGTTATTGACTAGATGTCAACCAAAGATGCCCCTTCAGTGGTAAGATCAATTATTCAATATGAGCTGATCCTGAAAGCCCTGTGTGCTATAATTTATCCTTATTCCTACAAGTAGCCATGTGAATGTCCAGAAAATGTCTGACTTCAGTATAACAAGTGAGTGAGGATTGGCAGGATCCTTTTGTCTTGGTAGTAGCAGTAATTATCAAACATTTTCACTCCACAGTTTAAAAAGTTTTCTGTTTCAGCTTGTCTAGGCATGAAACCTTTCAAGTGTATCTCCAAAATAGATTCAAAATTAATATTAGTTATATAAAAGCACAAAGCAATGCTCCAAGCTAGATCTATTCAGTGCTCAGTTATCCACATTTTTTATTCAAACTTTGAGGCAACTTTTTCAAACATTACACATTTATCAATCTGGAGAGGGAAAGTCAAAGCAGCACAAACTGAAATATATTTTCTTAATTTAATTTCTAATGTAAGATCTCTATCCCATACAAAATCCAGAGATGACTTTGCTTTCTATTAAAACTGAGAATTTAGTCATGATATTTGCAGATGGATAATTTGGTATAAAATTGCTCTTTGAGATAGAAGATATTCTTTACTTGAAAGAAGCCTGTGACTATTCTCAGCGTCTGTTAATAATGAACTTTGAACAAAAATAAATTTGAAAACTGAAGTGAAGTGAAAGACAGTTATTTCTGATGGTTCAACAAGAACAATAACTTTGTTAACAATTACTTTCAGAAATCATTGTTGCAGGACTTTTCAAAGATCATTGTACCATAAATAGACAATGTACATAAAGAATACTTTCAAAACTCTGGCTCTGTCTTCTAAATTTAT